CTCAACACAGGCCATTACGGTGCAGTGTTTATGACCCCAGAATGCCAAGACAAAAGTCATGCTCGAAGGATTTTGACTTTTGAAAGCAAGGAAATCCAGTAACAATCCTCAAAAGCCAGTTGGAAACTAAAACTGCACAATAATTTAAAGAATCACTGCAAAAGCATAATTTATGCAATGTTAGGGGACAATATTTCATATGTGTGATTGTTGTTTTCTTTCTTTAAGCTCAGCAGATTTTTAGACATGGATAAGCACATAAGTAAGGAGTCAGTCTACAATGTGTCACTGAAAAACAAAGCTGTCATGTGCCTACAAGCACAATTAGACTTGATCTCCTAGGTATGCTATCTACGTGTATTTGGAATACTATAGTACTTAAGCCATTATGGCAAAACATACTGATCTCTACAGACCAACACTAAAGTTTTACTGTGTGAACACATAGCAATCCTGCTACTATAGCTAGATATGGGTCTAACCATGTATTTAGAGAGAACTATAAAGTAGCAGTTAACCTAAGATTGGATTGTTTGATGGTCATACATGGTATGAATAAAACCCTTGGAAAAAAACCCTAGTGTTTAAAAACAACGCCATTATATGCAGGACACCTTCCAACTTCCAGGTCAGAAATAGGTCCTTCCAGCCCTAGCATATTTTTAAGTTCCCAAAATATTCTTAATCAGCTGAATTCCATTTAGATTTTAGTTTGGTTCAAAATGTCTTAGTTATGCTTCTCTATGTAAGTGAAATGCACCGCAGAAAAATAAAAAAGGCTTTTGCCAAGACTGCGCACAGTGTGGTAAGTCATCAGAACAATGTTTCTTGTATTAGCCTAAATCCAGACAGCATCTTATTCATCACTGTGAATGAAAAACACCTATCCCAAGTCCATGTGGATTACAGAAGCATTATAGTTGGCTTTTCTGTTTCAAAACAACTAAGTTAGCATGTGCTTTTGTTACATCAAATTTAAGTCAAATTCATCTCTAAGCCAGTTTTACCATATCAGTAATAATTATGATGCTGAAGAATACATGCAAGACACTCTAGTGAGATAAAAAGACCATAAAAAGCTTATGTTATTGAAAAGCGCCGTTTCTAGCCACAATATTAAAACAAAATTTCACCCTGAAAAAATTTGGAAAAACACCTTGTGATGCATCAACTCAACCACTTTGAAATCCACTCAGATAAGTACATTTTGTCCTCTCAAACCTCATTCTATGCAATACTGATGAAAAAAATAGTAAGAGACCTTCATTACACAAATAACAATAGGCAAGGTGAAACACACAGGGAATCAGAAAATCAGAGCTTTAGGAATGTCAAACATCCATCAGATTCTAGTTTTGGTAGTGCTGTGTTGGTCCTTTGCACGTGAGTATCAAAACACCATCGGTACATATTTTACCTACCTTAGATTCAGAACTCAGAAACTTCACTACACACTGCAAATAATGTAAGTACATGGATGGTTCAATTCAACCATTTGTTTACATTTTTGCTATAGTAGCTACATTTTTCATGTTTTCCATTTACACAGAAACACATCTATTAGTATTTAATCCTTCCATCAACTGTAAAGAAGCTGCATGTTTGCCTCACTCAGAAATACTCAAGTTAAATTGTGACTACACATGTACTGCTGAACAAGCCATAGCTGTAAGATTTAGGAGCATATTCCAAGAGGACAGAAAATCTGCTAGTAAAAGGCTTGGTATTTCAGACTACCTGAAATAATGGAGAAGCTGAACTGGGGAAAATATGACAAAGAGAAGTCAATTAGCTAAGTGCCAACTGGGCTAATGAAGTACAATGTTCTGTGTGATATGACAGCGAGCCCTTACTGAACTTAATGTGCTTAAATTGTTTTCTTCCTGAAGACATCCAAAGCCTACATTTTTTCCTAAGCTCTCTATAAAAATGCAGAAGGTGAAGAGGACCACTATTTTTAGAGAATGCTAAAAGCTGACACCCTATTTGAAGGTTCATTCTTCTGCTATCATAGTCAGCACAAAGCATACTATGGGGGAAAAAAAAACCCTATAATTATTATTGGACTCAAGCAATATAACACAGACTTTATCAATCTGAAAGTGCTGTAAAAATTAAAGGAACAGTCACCTTAAAATATGTGTACTTTCCAAAATCTTTTGTTGTTGACAAAAACCTTCACAAAAATGCAGATCTAACAACCCTAGGTAAGACAAAGGGTTTATGAAGCCATACCATAGCATTAATATCAGAAGCAGCTTATGGAAAAATCTTCCAGTTCTTGATAAACTAAATGTGTTGACAGTGTCCCTTTAAGATTTGAACGTGAGATACTGTGATCAGCTAATACAGCTGTACACTTGGTAACTCAATCTTCATGAGCAACTGAGTCAGTACTTATTTACTGAAAAAGTAATATGACAAATACTCATATTAAAAATCCAAACATTAATGTTGCAAGAAAATATGAAGCAGGAGATTTTCCTCAATTTCAGAATGACCATTCAGCCATCACTCTTGTTCAGGAAGTCAGCTGATGGAGAGCTCTGGTCTACTTTGAAAGAAATCAAGTTTAGTGAGTCACACTGCCATTTAAACGAACAGTTCATACTCAGCAGGGGGACAAGACATTACGCCATTAGATGACATAACCAGACAATCCCATCAAGCTTGTACCATGTCTTGTCATTTGTATGTATAATTTTGTACTGGTTTACATTTGTACTGTTTTACAATTCATACATGTGAAACAAGTGGATCTTGGCAAGTATCTTAGAAGCTTGTCAATAGACCAAAGAAACCAAGTGTGATAGTCAGAAGATATTAAGCCAGAGAATTTTTTCCAGAGAAAAACTTACTAAAAGTTTAGATTTATTACTTCAAGTAACACCACACCTAAGATTACCTAAATGTTGCATTTTTGTAAAATTATCTTCTCCTCCCACTCTAAGATAATTACTCTTCAAGCATCCGTCTGCTATATTTTAGTTAAATAAACTACTCAAATATTTTATGGTCTTAATATTTGTAACTGCTTTAAAAAAAAAAGTGAATCAGCGCTTTATGTTCTGAGTGAAAACTATTTTAAATGCAACCGAGCATTCTGATGACTTTTATTTTCCTGAATTTGTAAGTTTCTCATACCATGTATATTTAAATACCCATTTACCTTAAGCAGATTTTAAGTAGTAGACATGAACAACAGGAAATTGATAGGGTAACATGACATAGTGCTCAAAGGCCAACATAAAGTTGAGGAAAGTTAACTGCCCTGGATCTCATCCTGTGAGCACTGAAGGACCAGTTAAGCATTCCACAATTTGATCTGATTTATGAGAAAACACTACTTTGATAAGTAGAGCCAAATGGGAACCTGTGACTTCAGCAGCAGATGACCCAGCACTTGCAATATACTTATCTATTTTTGCAGACACTAAAAGGAGTTAGAATTTCTATTTAGTCACCTGACTGCACATGTGAACACCTCTTCACCAGCCAGCTCCACATGTGGAACACAGCAAAAAAACATGCATAAGCAAGGGTGGGTTCAAGTTCAGATAGAGACTTGTAACCAAAACAGATCAGACAAAGAAAAAGTCATTGCTCCACAGACAAAAGAGCAGGTATTTGCAGTAATGAACAGTACTAGTGACTCAAAACAGTCATGACAACTCAGCTGCCCACTTGATCCAGTAGTTGAGCACAGCCGGTTCACTTAGAGCAAATTATTTGACACGGGTTTGATTAGAGCGTTATAATTATCAGCAGCAATGGGAAAGAGCAAGTATTTTGTGTGTGTGCCTACAGTGGTAAGTGTTCAAAAAAAGCTTTGTATAGCTCATGTAACTAAACAAAAACATCAGAAAATGGGAAAGATTAGCACACAGATGTATAAGAGGACAGCAGATGGTAACAGACAAAAAAATAAACCATGTGTGGAACTAGCACTTTTTTTTTTTAAGTTTCATCACTAAACTGGCATTTTAAAAATGTTTAGGCTCATTTGATCACCTAGTGGCAAAGCCATACAATGCAACATGAGAGAGAGAAATTTCCTTCCCAAACTAACATGGCATGTTATCACATAGATTCTGCTTAGACTGGAAAGGGGTGGGGGAGAAAGGGGACTTATTTTCACAGCCACATTCCCATGTTAAATACCAAGAGCAGTAACTAATCCTCACATAGAGAGGGAGCATTACATGAGAAGAACGAACGAAAAGGGGAGAATCGAGTTAGTACATCCCACATGAAAAATAGATTATATACTTTGTCCAATACTAATGATGTCTTTCATGTGAAACAAATCCAGGATTTGATCCAGTGCCAGAAAGGACTATGTACGCTTTCTAAAGCACATGTTTAACCCAGCATTTCTGTCTTTTACCAATTCATACTACTGAGCAAGAGAATGCTGGCGCACCCCAAAAAGAAGTCCTGCTTTAAAGGGATAGCTGCGATACAGACATTAGAAAAGCACAGCTTCTCAAGGCTCTGACACATCAGGCAGGTTTATACAATTACAGGTATACAGAGAAAAGTTGTAGTAAACTCATTGGAAAGAAAGGGGTTTGAAAAAGTTGTGCTCTGTTCGGTACTTTGGACACGCAGTGTTGTTAGAAAAACGGCTCATCTCCCAAACTGTACTTAATTATGCAAAGTGTCATGACCCTAACAGGCTCACCAGCTACAGTTCTGAAACACAGACTTGATACCAAAAAAAAAACGTTTAACTGAGAAGGTCAACTTGGAGGCTACACCACAGTTTAAAAGCTGAGGAGTAACTGAAGTCAAAAAAAAAAAAAAGAGAGACAAAGGAAAGTTGGGCACCAAACTATAGTCAGCAACTGCATTTCTTCAAACTATCTGAGCTCTGCTTACTTTTGAAGAAGCCCCCATATTGAGTATTTCATGAAGGTGTCACTTTGGACAACTAGCTAATTGTTGCCTCTGGGAAGTTTGTGTTTTATGATTTTTCTGCCTATTAATAGTCAACCTACCTGCCCATAGTTGTCTATGCCAGTTACTAATCTATTTAAGTTTAATAAATCAAAAGCTGTCCTTAGGGACTGGCCAAGAGTCGTAAGTCCTTCAGCCTGAAGGTTTTTCAGTTCATTCATAAACGTTGCATGGTTTTCCTTCCAGCCAGCCTGAAAAGAGAAACGTGAGAAGACTTATTCTCCAGATACGAGCTCTGCTTTCCTGTTAAGCTACCAAGCGCCTTCCTTGCTGCATGCAGCTCACTACAAATGCTAACAAAACACCTCGGAAGTTGCTAATATTTAATGTCGTTCCATAAAGCCTGAAAATATGTACTTCCCTTAAGCCTTACAGCTCCCCACCTATCAAATGAAGGTGTTTGATTTGTTCCACGGGACAAATTTCTGTGAAGTCACAGATGCACAAACCTTACTGCCACCGACACGGCTCTCCCGCAGCCCTTTCCAGATGGAAGCCGACCGCACTCCGAAGCGACCTCCAACAGGTTCACCGCCCTGTGTCATGTGGACCCACCGCCCCCTTCCCCCGCGGTACGCCTGCCCCCGCCCCGGCGGGGCTGGGGGAAGTCCCGTCCTCTTCCGAGTCCGGGCTCTGCGGGCTGAAGTCGGTCCTTCCCCCGCTCGCCCCTTCCAAGCTGAACTCTCCTTGGAGTTGCTGTCACTTCTCCCAACTTGAATAAATATCCCCCACAGTTCATTGCTGCTCACACACACCACACAGGGAAAAAATGTCGGCCATGTTGATGTCAGCGCTGCCGCCGCCGCC